TTCTCGGTGACATTGTTATTGGGATGGATGGCCAGCCAGTTGTAGTCCGGGGGAAGGTCGTTCGTCGGAATAGGGCCGAACTGTGCGCCAGAAAGGTCAGCATCCAGAAGTCCCCCGCGCCGTGAGGTACATGTCTCAAAGGAAATTTGTTTATCATTTGCGCACACTTCGACAGTTGGAACAAAGGTTCCATTCGTGAACATGGATGGCACTACACAAAGCTCCTGAGGTGGGTCGCCCAAAGTGATGGCAAGCCCCCAGCTCTCAGCTACTGGAACGTCGCCGTGGGACTGGGTAGAGCAATTCGATAGTGGGAAATAAAGAGGTCCAACATTATCTGGTAGTGAGGAGCATTCTATTGCCATAGACGGTATAGCGCTCAATGTCACGCTCCCTGCAAGTGCGACAAGGAGCCAAATGTAGGGGCACATAATCTCAACGATGGTGTCACTACGGGAATGAGCGAGAGGATATATGAGATATGAGCTTCTCGAGCCTTATTTATCTGATTCTCCTATTCTCCGGACCAAGTGAAGCGGTCCACCAGGATGTCCAGCGGAGGCAGACAGGCAGCATGTCGCACGATCAAGCCAATTTATCGGAATTCCCGCTTTGGCGAAATGAATGCCTGTTGGAGCAAGGCTGGGAAGAGGATGCAGTAAGTTCTAGCCTTTTATTCGAGCAGGAAGCTGCTAATTATGACCATTGGCCGTTCAATTTGAATGTAGCCACAAGGGTATTCAATGGCAAAGAGACATATGGTAATAGTCTGAAGCGCGATTATCCAAGTTACACCAGGTGTTGCATTCGGGTGCATAAATGAACCAGTGAAAAGGATGCAATAATGTGATATTCAACATTAAATAGAGTCAAAGGTCAGATAATTATGTGCTTAGCATATCCTCCAATTGGTATATTAAGGCTCGCGCACTCGGTTTGGATGATTCGAGACTGGCATATGTCTGGGTCCGCACACCATCTTACAAATATTAATGGATACGAAGGCAGAAAAGAAGCTATTTAATATGATATAGGTGTATCGAATACCCCACAATTAGGTGATTCGCATCCTATATAAGCAGTGGCACCGGCCATTGAGACAGTAACAAGCGGTGTAGTTGATGGAGAGATAATCCGAAAATATTCCTTCTATGTGAAGTGAGTGAATCAGATTGCCAAGCATTCATATGGTCTGCATACATACTGCGTACGCACGTCCGAATGAAATCCCCTTACGTCCATACCCACCAGTTCCACCACAATTCCAAATTACGGTCCTATCGATCGATATGATCCATTCAAAGGACAAATCAGAACTCATTTCAAGTTTACGGTATATCCCTGTCAGTACACCTATCGACCAGCCAACTGCCAGCAATCCAGCCACATCAATGCGTACAACACGTTTAGTGCAAATGTACCGGCTTTGTAACGAATGTATATTTGCATATTCTGATCTCCCTCAAACACAAAAATAAAGAGGTTTAGTTGTTCGGCCTGGCTTCGAGGGACCGTTCGGCATTTAATAGACATTGTAGAGAG